GTCCTTGCTGGATTGGCGGTTCATCTAATCATGTGATGTTCCCACTCCGAGGCACCGTGAGGGGTCGCGTCGCCGGGGCCTCCGAGCCCACGCGGGGGCCACGTGGAAGGCATCTCCTGCCTGCACGCACTAACTGAGCCACTGGAGCCGCCGCCAGAGCGTAACCTAGCTGTCACAGGTGCGGCTGCGGCAGAACCGGTCGGGCGAGGCGACCGCCAAAAAACGGCACGTTCGGGTGACCCGCTCTGGCTTTTTGCGGCCCGGGGTGGCAGCGCCGCCAAATTGAGCTGAGGACAAATGTGACAAGTGTGTGTGCGCTTGTCGTCGGGCGGGTCGTTTAGCCAGGTGTGTCTGGCGGGGCCGCGGCGCGGAGGCACGGCTGCGAGGGAGGGGCGCCGCAGGTGTCGCGCGACCGTCCGAGACGGCCCTCACGTGCGGCGCAGACTCGGGCCGGTCGTGGTGACCACCCACGCGCAGCCGTGGGCCGTGGCGGCGACGATTCGGGCAACGAACAGCGCCGAATGGATCCTCCGCGCGGCGGGGAGCGTCGCGGTGTCTGTCGGTGGCCGTTTGGGGGCAGAGGTTGCTGGGGCTGGGGATCGTTTTGAAGCGTCATCCTCAGCGAGGCGCCAGCTGCCGGGATGCGCGGCGAGCATATGCATGTCGGCGATCCCGGTAACCCAGCCGCCAGACCCATTTTGGATCTCATTTTGGCACGGGCGTTCCGCATGCACCGGGAGTTATGAGCACTAACTTTGGGAGACTGTCCGAAAACTTCTCGAATGAGGTCGTCTATTGAATAGCGGACCAACGTGCGCCATCGATTACACGACCAGAATTGAAGGAATTAGTTAATTTTTCATTGCAGCGACTTGGCCTGACACCCAGGACATGATCCTGGGCTTGACAGGATCTGAGGCCCATAACCTAATGCTGACTCTGCAGATATCTTCGAAGCTGACTGCGTTCTCCAGCTTGCTCGGATTTTGTTTGATCTCCGGCACGCTCCGACGTCAGCACGCTCGGACACGTGCTGACATCAGCGTGCGCCTCATTCCCACACATGGAATTGGCACGGTTGTTTGCCGATACCCCGGGTGGTAACGTCGCGCCCCTCTGACCGCTAGGAGCCGGCCTCTGGCTGTCCCTCTGACCGCTGGAAGCCGGCCTCTGGCTGACCCTCCGACGCCGGGCGCACGCAGACACGAGTGCAGATACATGTCTGGATAAGCTGGGCGCGTATCGTCTCACACGCCTGGCCTCCGTATAAACACCCGCTCTGGGAGATCGGACGGTGACAGCGACCAGGCGTGTGACGTCACTGCAGGCCAGGAGGCCCCACCCCCGGCGGTCTGGAGAGGTCAGGGGTCGGCGGCGCACGGAAGGCTGCGGGGGGGGGGGGAGGGGCGCCACGGGACAGCTGGGCTGCAGCGCGGGCACGCCTGAGAGTGTCTGACTTCAGGGCGGCTGCTGAAGAGGATCGCACCAGGTCGCCTGCCTCGGATAACGTCACATAGTCGAATGGATCGGCTTGTGGTTGTAACACCCGCGCCTGAATGCCGTGTTCGGACAGACCTATGTTATACGCACGTACCTCGTGAATTACCGCACTATTACCATTTTTACCGAAATCGGTTTTGGGGTGCCTCCCCTCGATTGGAGTTTCATTGGATTGTGGTGTTTTACGGTTTGCAAGACGAAGTTATACTGGGCCAGCAGTGTTCGTAGTTTCCTGAGAGGTTGCATGTCGAGTGTTTTATTGGCGCACTCGAGCCATTACACCATTCAAACCGAGCTCAACCCGCAACTTTGCGCTTGTAATGGCGTTCAGTTCGCTAATTGAAGCAAGGATGATTGTATCACCTGAAAACGTGCGATGTCTCAAGCCTCAGGGATATGCCCAGACACCTGCGCCGTAAAACCTGGCGACCGGGACATGATGTACTCGGGAGGTCACCTGTCTGGCGGGGCATGTACTTATCCCTTTCTGATGGAGCGGAGCGGTCGGGTAGCTGGAGGCCTAGCTTCGCCTACGATATATGGGTATGGTAAATTCTAAGCGCAGGCCATATGTTGCTGGATGTAAAGAATATGCAGAATAGAAATGGGTGGAACATGTATGGCCTATGAATTACGTGGCTATAGGAAATGTGTAGATCAAAAACAAAGCGTGTGTTGCTTGTTGTTTTTGTCAAAACTTTGCTTGAAAGGCGTCTCTGAGATAAAAAAAAACAGTGTTACTGCTCAAAGGCGATTGGTGTTATTCCGTAAGACTCCCGCTGTTCTCATTGGCACAATGCTTGTTTTGCCTCGAGGCCAAATTAGGTTAGCTCGCACGTGCGTTTGTGGCCGAAGTGACGCGGCCTGTACTCATTGATTTTGACGGTCCTGCTGGTGATAAACGAGTCCCGGGAGAAGTCCGAGATGAGAGCAGTGCTCGTCTTCAAGGCCGGAATTCTGCAAACTGTTGCCGGCCTAAAAGTTCCGTAATATGCCGCATCCCAACTGCGGTAAGTGGCAATCTCGACCTACCGCAATGCCTGCCGGGACTGCGCACAGAGACATCTAGTGTCAGATTTGACAACTTGGTGTTCCCTAGTTTAACGCGGAGGTAGTTCAGCGCGTCGGCGCGGCGCTGCAAATGATGTGAGTCCGTGTGAAAAGCAGCATTGATTGCTGACGGTGGCTGGAGCTAAGGAACCACATTTTTAGCCTGGCAATGGCCGATGGAAATGAGCGCGCGACGGAGAACTGGCGCAAACAGTTTCCGTAGACGATTTTTCACTTGGCTGCTCGGCACGCCCAGTTGCATTTCCGCTAGTCTCAGCAGCTGACTGCGAGTTGGGCAAGTTCGGCCCACAACTTAACGAACGACATACCGATAGTTCTGCAAATTTGCGATTAAGTACCACTCGTTAGACGTAACCTGTAGATCCCATTACATGGCTGTTGCTCGAAATTATGGTTACATGCAACCAACTCGGTAAAATGGGGTAGTCGTAGCCCGTACTTAATGTTGCTAAAATCGAGCTGATTTCAACTTAAGAGCCTGGGTAGGAGGCACCACCGACCGTCTCGCTGGCTGTTTGGTGTGTGCCAGCTGTCTCTTTGTGTGCTTGATATACAATCGTCGTCAAATCACGCGTCCTTTCCTGTTGTCATCGGGAGGCTAGAGCAAACTTAAGTTTCGCTCAAATCGGTCCAGATCACCAGATTGCAGACTTCACGCCATTATTCTTTTATCAGTCGCGCACTGGCCCAGTATTTGCTGTGGGAGGAGGAGAAGGACCCCGGAGCCGTCGGCAAAGTTGTACGACTTCGTGTCTCCCTAAGCTTCTCACGAGCCCGGAGCTGAATCGACCGCTCCCGGGGGGCTCTTGAGCTGGAGTGTGTGATCTGCCGGCCGTGACCTATCTCCCCCAAGCCTCTGTTCTGAAACGGGATCGGATCTGACCGAGTCTGAAATGCAGACCAGATGGTTGGTGGGTTTTGGATCGACTTGACTTGTGAGTCGACGAGGGAGGGGTAGGCCACTGATGGAGCCGCGGCTCAGAGCTGGCCGCTGGTGCGCCTACCCTAGCGGCTCGTCTCGAAACCACCACGGACTTCGATTGTGGGACGGGACGCGCGGGCAGGGACGGGACTCCCACGGAGGCCCGCTGACGGCTCTCAAGAAGGCTCAATGGATTTAAGCCGTTTTCTGCAGTGTCGGCATAAATGAACACGCTGATTTGAACGTTCTCCCCAGTCGTCAGCTGGACCTAGATCTGAGGAGATCTGAGCACAAACTGAGACGAATTCAGCGCGGGATATTTTGACTAGTGCCTCTTTGTGCGCTCTCACGGGTCACGATCAAGCGCGCACTTTATCAGATATTTCCTGGGTTCAGCCCTCATCGCTAGCACTCTACAGTCCTGCTGCTGGACTTTAAGCTGGACGGGCTTCCTGATCGATCACCTCAAAGCCATCCCACCCGCGGCCGGACCGCCTGACCCGGTGCCTGAGCTGCGGGCGGGCTGGCCCCTGGACGCCGTGGACCTCGCCCCGGCCGCCAGCCGGACGGACTGGGATCGGTCGGCCGTCCCGCCTCCGGCGAGCGGCGTGGGCGGGCTAGGGCTGACTTGGCAGCCGGGGAGGGGCCGGCCGCGCTGCCAGCCGGGGCCGGTGGCCGGGACGCGCGCGCGGCCAATATTAGCCCGCTGGCCGGTGGCGAGCGCCGCACCTTATCGGAGCGCCGGCGCCGCGCGCGTGCTGCCCCTAGTGCTGACCGTGCCGGCTGCTGACGGCCGCTCGTCCGTGCTGTGTCCTGTGCTGGGCGGCTGTGGCGAGGCCCGCGACAGAGCCGGTCGGTTGGCGTGAGTTGTGAGACGGGCGGGCGGGCGCTCCGCCGGCCCGCTGTGGTCGTGACGGACGTCGGTGTGCCCCCAGACTCGATGACCCTGACTGTCTGTATGTGTGTGTGTGGTGGGGGGGGGGACTGTAGACGATTAGAGATGGGATGAAGGGGGGGGGGGCTGGCTCTTACTGCGGGTTATTTCCCGGATCTCATCTTTAGAGATGGAAACATGGTATGGCATTCCATACCCTCGTCCCTGCAAGACATCTCCACGTCATTCGGTATCGGCCGTCGAAATCTGATCGTGTCACGCATTCCTGTCTCAACATGTCTTCATCACGTTGTCACGTGTCAACATGTCTCCATCACGTCTTCATCATCGCATATGTCTTCATCACGTCACGTCACGTTTGGCACGCTTGCGCGGCGGAGTGTGGCGGCAGCCGTGCACGCCAGACACCGCGTCCGCGCGAGCCGGGCGACTTCCTGCCATGCTGCGGCCGTGCGGTCAATGATAGCGGGTCTGCACCGAGCCGGCGGCGGGGCCGCAGCGGAGCGACGCCGCGCCGCGAGCGTGTCGCGCCGCGCTGACGCCGCGCCACGATTGTGGCACGCGGCGCCGACGCCGCGCCGCTGTGCTGACACCGCACGCGGCTTGTTTCAGCAGACGCTGAACCGGAGAACCAAGACACGGCCGCGGAGGAGGGCAAGACCAGGCGCGTGAAGAAGAAGAAGAAGAAGCAGAAGAAGAAGACCAACAGCGTCGATAGCGGGGTAAGTCCCAAGGCAAGTCCTCTGATGGAATGTTTGTGTGTTCCTTGCATGAGACATCACGTGGGCTTCAGCTCCGAGATGTGCCTGGTTGCAGATCAGGTGTCAGTAATGTAGTTACTGAGCATTGGTAAAGCTTTATAGTTGTTTGGAGAGCCCCTAAGCCTGAACCCACTCCACCCCACCCCACCCTCCGACGCTGTGTCTCGGTTTCATCCGCGTTAAACACAAATCTCCAAAAAGTTTCAAAAGCGTCCACATATAAAAAATCTCTGCTTTTTTCCAAATCTGGTGTTTTCAATGCATTTACAAAGCTTAGCTGCTAGCACTAAGCAATTCATAATCAACGGTTCTGTAAAAAATACCAAAATGAGAAAAAGGCGTATACTCTGCGACTGCGCTTACATAATCGGGTCAGCCAAAGTTTAAAATTGCTGAACAGTAGGAAACGTCGCCGCTCAGGAATATGTATGAGTTAAGCAGGGATGGTAGCGGAGTACAGGTGCCTGTGTGCATGTTGCTGTGTATAGCCGGGGTGGGACCCGTTCCACGCTCAGCCGACGGGGCTGCCATTGGTGCGTCCGACTTTCGACACGAACCATTTAATTGTAATTACGATAATTGCATGTGTTCGAGCAGAATGTGCAAAATTATTTGAACTGTATCACCGATGCACAGCATTGGCAAAAAGTGTGCAGGTGTAATCTGACATTATTGCCGACTATATTAGTAATGCATTGGACAGGGACAGTGACCAGGTCGGGGAAGTATACAGTGCTGCAGTAGGGTAAAAAGCGAATTATATTTAGAAGCCACCCATGCTGAGTTTCCGCAGACTTGCTGAACCACCCGTTCATTTTTTATTTTTGGTCTTTTATGCGTAAAAAATCCCACCTCTACCAACTTTCAAGATGCCGTGATTCAATTAATTTTTGGCAAGATGGCGGTCACGTTGCATTGCCTTTGAGGCTGCCAGCCGTATCCAACCTATTTGTGGGACGGCCGTGGCCCGTGTGGGGCTAATGTCGGGTATCCCTGCAGGTGACCGACGAAGGTTCGGACGGGTGCCGGGACGTGCCGCCGACGCCCGACTGTGCTGTCATCTGCCTGTCCGACTCGAGCGCCTCTGGCGGCCGCGTGCGGCCCGAGCCCAAGTCGGAGCGCTCGCCGAGCGAGCAGACGTCGGGCGTGCAGAGCGACGTCTCGCTACCGGACTCGCCGCAGCGGCGACCCTCGGGCGACTGCGTCCACGTGACCAGTGTCGCGCCGCCACGTGACAGCAAGCTGCTCCACAGCGCTGCCAGGGTGCTGGGCCACGTGACCGACGCGGTGGCGTCACGTGACAGCAGGCCGCAGGACGGCGCCGTCAGTGTGCTGTGCTGCGAGCGGGATTCTCAGCCGGCCATGCAGTCGGCTCCGCCGTCGTCCGGCGACTCAGCGGCGTTGCCGCGCCCTGGCAGCCAGCCAAAAAACGATCGCGCGGCCGCCTCAGCGTCTGAGGCGGCCATTTTGTCCCCAGTCCAGCCTGCCGCCGAGTCCGGCGCCAGCGACGCTCGTGTCGGCTCGTCCGTGGCGCACGAGGCGAACGCTATCGTTTTAGACGAACGTGACGCGGCAGGCGCCGATGCGTCTGACGATAACGACGAGGGCGATGTTGATTCTGAGTCTCCGGAGCGAGTGGATGGTGACGACGGCGTCGAGGGAGGTGATGGTGACGACGGCGTCGAGGGAGGTGATGGTGATGGTGACGCAGAGAGCTGCGACTCCTTCGTTTACGAGGATAAGTCTGCGGCTGACTTGGCCGCCTCCCCTCCGCCCACCGACGACGCTTTTTTAGGCCTGCCCAATGATCACCCACCGCCACAGTGCGAGCCCGATCCATGCGGTGAAGACGCCTCAAGCAGCGCGTCTCGTGAGGGCTCCTGCACGTCGCAAGGCTCGGAGGTGGTGCCGGAGTTTGAGGACGAGGCGCAGGCGCCGCCGTCCTTCACCGACCTGTCCGTGCCAGTCGACCTGCGGAGGACGGTCATCCTGGAGGAGACGGAGAGCGAGAGAGACCGGGAGAGCTCGCCTGGGTCCGCTACCTCGGAGGAGTCGGCCGGCCCGCCGGACCGGGCAGCCTCAGTCGGGGCTTCGCGTCAAAGTTCGGCACCGCCTCAGCGCGTCACGGAAGGCGCTACTTGAGCCGAGCATGCGCCCGCTGACCGCAGCCACCGTCGCCACCGAACCACATGTGGATCTTCCCGTCACGCGTGCGACGGTACGCAGCGGCTCTGACGAGAAAACAGGCGACCTTCCCTCGGAAGCGGCTGCCGCTGGGGCTGAGCGCGCCCCGGAGGAAGTCGCTAGCGCTTCCAGCGTCAGAATGGCGCAGCCGTTACTGGAAACGGCTCCTCTGCAGGGCCAGGCGACGGCCGAGTCCTCGCCGCCGTCCAGCCTCTCCGACGGTGCCATCAGCATGGCAGTGCGCGGCTGGCTCAAGGAGCAGTCCCCCGAGGCGGTGTTCGTCGTCGCCGCCGACGACAGCGACGCGTCCGACCTCGACGGCGGCGACTGGGAGAGTGACGCCGAGGCGGAGCCGGTCGAGTCACACCCAACAACCGCGGCACGGCCAAAAAACGCGCCAGGCAACCCTTCCCCTGCGCCGTGCAGTAGCGCTCACGCGCTGCTGGACGGCGCGGGGGACAGGGTTGCCATGCGCGCGGAGGCGGCGTCGGCGGGCCGCCACATAACGCCCGCCTACTACAGCCTGACGGCGGCGCTGGATGATCCGGCCGACGCCGTGCTCGACCTCGTCGACCTCGGCGACGAGTCGGCGTCGGCGGGGCCGCGGCGCGAGCCGCCGCCGGCCACCACCGTCGATGTCATCTGGTTCAAGCCGGAGGGGGCTGGGTGCGGGCGCTGCGCCGGCCTCCGAGCTGGAGAAGCTCGGCTCCGTCCAGGCGGCCGGCGCCGCCGCCGACGACGCCGACGAGGGTTACGGTGGCAGCCCTCTGGCGTCGCCGGAGGTGCGTCGACCGACGGCGGCGCGTCCGCGGCTAGTGGCGCATCCGCTGCGCCACGCGGCACCTGAGACAAACGCCCCTTGGGGGGTATGTTGCTCATTGCAATAATTGCACAACGCTCACACCGCACGCTTGAAAACACGGCGTCGCGTCCGCGCGCCGCGCCCGCCCACCCCTGCAGACACACACGCATACACACCACATAATAATTCATCCGGCTCCTCTGGCTACGAAAGTTGTTATGTTTTTAAGTGCGGTTATACGTGCTTGAGTGTATATGTGTACCATTCGATGTGCTTTTTTCTAGATTAGACTCGTGTTTTATAATCGCTCATCGCCGTGTTGATTGTTGTATATTCGTCTAGGCGGTGTTATTATGTATCAATTGTGCATCCATTACCCGGTAGACAGGAAACACTAATCAAACTTCAGCCCGTGACTAACCGACCCGCCAAATTTCCGACTGACCCAAACAGACTTGATTTTATGTAATGTGATTATTTTTGTGCCTTTGATCTGTTGGTCGTCCAAGAGATGTGTTATTCGGACGGCCGCTGCGGGGGCGTCCACGGCCGGCTGTGGCTTTGGCCGGCCTCATGCGGGGTTCGTGGCCGGCTGCGGCTTTCGGGCGTGTCGGCCGTCTGCAGCGCGCGCGGCAGTTTTCTCCTCCCTTCCGTAGCTGTCCTCCGGGTGCGATCGGCGCCCTCCCCGCCCCTCCCCTCCTAGTGTCCACACGCTGTCCTTTCGTCTGTCTGCGGCGCATCTCCGTGCATTTGACCGCATCCTAGCGTCCCCGCCCGCCGCCCACTGCTGCCGCCGCGGCCGCCGGCGTCCCCCCCCCCCCCGCACGTGATAGCTGCCACGCCGGCATTGTGATGCGCCGCGAGCCCCCCTCCCCTCCGGCCCTCAGGCGAAATGCAATGTCAGCCCGGGCTGGAGATTATGCAGCGCCCACGGCTCGAGAGGAAAACACCTTAGTTTAAGCTGTTATGGACTGTTGAAATAAAGGAGCCGAATTCGAGACGGAGTGACGTTTTTGCGCTTTTCGGGTGTTTATTTAGGAACTAATTGGGCGAAGAAGTGTTAGAATGTGAAAGAAGCAATGGTCAAACATGTCGATATGTTCCATACAACTAATACAAGAGTGAACCAATCGATCCGCTGCAGTAAATGTGGACTACAGAAAGCACGCTAAGCGACGATGATATCTACCATCCTTATCTTGCACTAACGATACAGTAAATGTGACGACCACGCCGCCGTTTTTGTCGTTGTTTTACTCGTTATCCATGGTCCGGCCTATGAAATAGCGTTAGCCGTGTAGTGTGAACGTTCATCCAAATGAGTCTTATATTCACCGCGTCCGGTCGCTTTGGGCTCGGAAGAGCTAAAGCTAAGTGGTGTCATGGACCTCATAGCCGTTTTTAAGAGTAATAAAGCCTTGTGTTTTGGTTACGGTGATACCTTGTCTCACCCAAACATACCACATGCGTTTTGTGCGCGCACTTCAGATGTTAAAAGGTCTGGGGAAACTGACGTGTACCCCCGGCACCAGCCAGCAGCGAGCAGGGAACTGCAACACAGTTCTGAGGTAGCTCCTGCAGCGCGACCGCTCTCACAGATGGCGCCGCTATCGAGCCGCGAGCGACGCTAGCAGCGTCCCCCGAGCTTGTTGGCCTCATCTCCCGCATGACTTGGGCCGGCCGGTGGAGCTGTAGCGCTTCCCCGGCGCCGATGTCACCGAGTATGCCGCAGCGCCGCCGCCGCCGCCGCCGCTAGGGTGCGGCGCGTCTGGTTGTCTGGGGAGGCGCCACGGCCGTCAGCGAGGCAACGCTGGTGGTGGAAGCGCCGCCGCAAGGACCTGACCCAACGGTGGACCATAGGCCCAAGGGGTTTTAGATTGAGAACCGCACACGGAGCCGGCGCCAGCGCCACTGACTCACTGCGGACACGCGGACGAAAGCCCCCCCCCCCCCCCCTGAAGTCAATCTATCCCAATTTAAGATATCAACCATGAGGGAGTGACACGTCATTCAACGTGGAATGCAGGAGCGATAGGCGACGTCTCGATTATGTTCGGCGTGTGAGAGGATAGCTGTCAGATTGTGGCAGGCACACAGCAAGTGCGAGGAGAAGAAATACGACTAACGCGCTCCTCTGTTCAACAGACTACACTGTTACCGTGCAGTGACGCTTTTTGTTTGCACGCAGCACGAACTTAAGGTCGATAGCCATCTTTGCAGCAATAAAAAGTACAAAAATAAATGTGGGACACCAATGCAGCAATTCAAAAAATTCAATTCATCTGCGATCGCTTGTGCATCAAACCACGCCACACGACGCATTTCCTCTCATGAAGCCTGTCCAAAAACCAGCATGCAGAATAATGCCAGCGGCCCTCCACAGCGGCGTCACAACATGAGTGCTGCGGCAAGAACTCATACCGACAGGAGTGCTACGAGATCAGATGGATGGCGGCGTCACAACATGAGTGCTGCGGCAGGAACTCATGCGGAGAGGAGTGCTACGAGATCAATTGGATCCAACATTTCTTCCACCGCATAAACTCACCATACAAAATTTATTTATAGGCGACACGCAACTCTGCTGCAAAAACTCAAACGTGATATGAGTGCTAGCCGGCAAAATTTATGCTTTAAAAACTAATGTATGTCATTGCATCTGCTGCGAAAAAAATATACAGTCTTTACTTATACGCGAAATCATTTAAACTGCAAAAAACTCATACGCGACATGGGCCAGTACTTATATGCCACACTTGTGCAATAAAATATGGGCCATAATCAACAAATTGCAGCCGTCAGCACTCAAACACATGGCTTAAGCCTCGCCAAAATCCTGAAAGAAACGAGGACATGGGAGTAATTAGATGCGCAACATCAGACTGCAGATGCTCACTCTAGGGCATCGATACAGTATTGCTGCTGCAATCATCGCGATGGACAGACCCCCGACGGTTATGGTTCTACACGATATTTTTGTACTGAAAAGCGTGTGGTGCACTGTCGTAGTGTTGCAAGACAGGTTTGGACCCAAGCGAGGAAAACGGCCAAGCCTGCTCCAATATCGGCGTGCAAAACGGCGTTTGCTCTAAATGTGACACATCTTCCTATCACAGATAGGGGCGGAGGGGTCACCGACTGTCTACGAAATTTCACGCCTGGTTTGGTGTTCACTGAAACGCCTCAATGCCTCTATCCTAAAAGTAATGCCCATAATTGGGATTTTGCCATCCAGACAACAGCTCCTGCTCATACGTCAAGCACTACAAATTGACAAAGTCACGTGACGCAACAAGTCAATAACTTGTATCAGCACCGCCAACGACTAATTCAATGTTTTGCCAGTTCGAGTTTCCTACTAGCCTGTGAATAGTCCCTACTCATCTGCCAGCTGTTCACGCATTTGACACTCCACGGCAGGCATTATCAGGAGAAATAATGCTGCTCATACGTAATGACTATATAAGTTCGTGCAGTAAAATTCATGACTATTATTCATATTGAAGGATAGGCCTTGCCGCGTAGTTCTAGTGTCGTGCGTAAGTGCTGTCAGTAGAAATAATGTCGCCGCACTCGTGTCGGCGGAGTTTTTGTTGTGACGCTGAAGCCGTGAATCCTCCCGAGCAGGCAAAGTATATATAGCGCTATTTCACTGAGACGACGCAGCATGTACTCCAGCGGCTGCCGTCATCCCGTCTGAGCTGGCCAATCAGCGCCCAGGTGTCAGTCTGTGCCACTATGGCAGCAGCCAGCTCATCATAACGGATGTTAGCACTTATTGACTCAATTTTACCATCCAATGCGTAGTTTGGTTGATGCTGATGCAGGGTTGTCCCGTTCGAAGGTGGATCTTTCCGGGTGGGAGTTGTGCGTGCTCTCCCAGTGAGACACTGCGCCGCACCAAGACTTCAGTGAGCTCTCCGCGAGTCCGTTGTGATGCGCTTCTGGTAATGCATTCCTTCCGGCAGTATGTTAAATGTTCTCTGAAGGTTGATGGCAAGAATAGTGGTTACAGAGGGCCAGGAAACGTGTGCTCTTTGCAGGACTGCTGTTGAAACTGAAAAAACTGTGGGAGGCATATGTGTATCAGGCACGTTGTTCGTCACCAGAGTGTTACCTTTGTATGTTGACTTCATAGCAGACAACACACCACTTTACCAATGAAAACATTTTAATGTCATGAACACCATGAGTTGGAGAGGGTCTTGAGTGGAACGCTGTGGAAAACCCAACCTTATCCCACATCAATGGCTTTTGTCTCTCAGGCTTCTGACTAACAGAAGGACAATCTATCCAATTTGGAGACTATTTCAGTACATGGATCAACGGAAAGATGCTGATTGTAAAGGGAGCGGTAACCACAAGTCTCATGGCAAAGATGAAAACGAACTCAGAACAGGACAGCCGTTTCACCTCACCCGGTTACTCTGTGCCAGTTGTTCAAAATAAAGATATTTCGCAGGTAAGTAAATTATATACCGGGTGTTTCCAGTGTTCAGAACAATTTCAGCGGAAAGCAACTTTCGGCTTTAAACAATGTTTACCTGCACCCAAGGCTAGCCTGCGCCATATAAGTGATGACAGAACAATGACAGATGACGTGTGATGAGCACACAGTATGGTGAGTGGCCTCCAGGATGAATATAGCATAAAAGACGAACGCTAGGCATGGAGTATTGGTACTAGCTACCGTGTTGAAACAAGTGTTTATGACTTCTCTGTGACGAGAAATGGTCATTTATTTGTTTTTTAGCGTACCCACATCTTTGCAAGAATGCAGAATTTCTTAAATTCGTTTTACCAGTGGTATGGGTCTTGTCGGGCGTTTCTTTGAAATGCAATCAGCGAGCTAAGTTCCAAAAGCTTTGTTTTTCACCTTCTGGACACGCTGATTGCATCTTGTTTGTACAGGACGTGTCGTCTCACCGATATATATATTTTTTTTACCAAGGGTGCGCATCTGGTATGTGATGTGGTAAATGGCGTTGCGCATGTGCTTGCCCACCTCGCCCGCCTGAAAAGCTTGACGCGAGTAGTTACAAGCTATTAATCGCACGAGTCATGGGGATGGTCGAGACAATCCGAACATGCTCACATTTTTGTATATTGTACTTGCATTTACATGTATCGTTAAAGTGCAATTTCTTATGTTGTTCTATTTCCAGCCTCTTTTCCGTCATAAGTGCCGAAATAACTGACACTGCCGAAATTCCTGTACTTTGCAGCGCAGTATGTGACGTACGCCAGGCACGAATAATTCGATGATCGCAATTCCTTTTTACCTTCAGCACTACATAGACATTGAGGTGACGGTATTTACGTTGCTTTTCTGTGACGTCATTTAGTTCGGCACGTAACTTTCAAAAAGGCTACACGCAATAGTCCGCACAAGTTTGCGAGAGTAAAGCTCAGAAACAAGAAGGTTTAAAGTCGTTTAAAAGGCTTGGCTGTGAATTACATTTAATACTCTTTAAAGCAGTTATGTACATTCAAAGCCTGACACAAATGTGGAACATTTGTATTTATATATTTAATACTATTATTTATTTTTTTATTTATTATTAGCATTAGCCAGGTGGTCATCTATAAATAAAATGTTGTTTTACCGTTCGGTGGAGGCGGGACGATATTATTGTCATTTTGTTTTCTTTAAATATTTTTTAATTGATGGATTTCTGCGATCAGAGGTCACGCTTAGCTTTGCTTGTTGTGTGAGCACTGACCTGACCTGACTATTCAACCACGTAATCCCAGGCCAACGGCAGACTTTGGTGGCGAAAGTCAAACGTGCCCCAAAGGTCGGCACAACCTGACCCGTCCTCTGACGGCACCTGACCTTTAGCGCGGCTGCTGCCACTGGTCGCACAACATTCATGCCAAGGGCAGGCAGCGAGCACCTAAAGCGGTTCCGACTCACCCCGCCACGGATGAGCGAATCTAAACGCAGGAGATCTAACCAACAGGCCCATTGGGACGGACGTCATGATATTGATGGCTATCGTTCATTTCATAAGCGCTGTCTCTCAGGTTCCAGATCTGGGGTTTCCGCTGTGCGCTCGATCGGAAGGATTTCGTTTGAGCAGTATGTTTGCATTGCAATGTACTCTTTTAATGGGGCTGGTTCACATCTGTGT